TTCGTGTCCACTGCTGCGCGGGCAGTGCTGCGTCACGTGACTGGACCACGCGTGTCCATCCGTTCATCCTCCCAAGGACATCCAGTACCTCTCACTCTGGACAATGACAAACGAAGCCACTGAGAATCTCATGAGCAAGCCCCGTCCAGCAGGTGTCCCTTCTCCCCTGGGGAAGTGACCAGGAGTGAGACGGCCAGGTCACAGAGCACGTACGTTCATGTTGTGAAACACTGCCCACTGCGTTTGGAAGTGGTGTGGCCAGCTCACCTCCCTCCCAGGTGAGTCTGAGCTGCCTGTGCCGCGGCACCACGGACACGCGGTGTGGTCGGCGCTGAGAGTGTCCCCTGATGCCGAAGGTCTTGTCACGCGTGTGCTCACCCGGCGTTCACCTTCTTCAGCGAGGTGCCTGCTTGCTCCCACCCTTTCAAACTGGCTATTTGAGAGTTCTTTACATATTACAAATACAAATCTTTTCTAAGATTTGGGACTTGCGCATATTTTTGCCATGTATGTGGTTTGTCTTTTATTCTCTTCAGGGTCTTTGGAAGAGAAGTTATTCATTTATAAAGTTTCAATTTCTCAATGTATGATTTTTCAAGTTACGATTTTGTTCATTCATGAATCAGCCTTCTGATGTAGTATCTAAGAAGTCTTTTATACTATGGTCACAAAGATTTTTCTCCTAAATCTTCATCTGGAATTTATACAGTTTTAAGTTTTACACTTGGAGTATGATCATTCTGAGTCAATTTCACATACGGTGTGATGTATGGATCAGAGTTCATGTTACTGCACACAAACAGCCAGCCAGCTGCTCACACCCTACAGACTAAGGACTAGCCTGCCTCTGCTCTTCGGTCAAGAATCACTGACCATGTAGGTGCGGGTCTGCTCCGTAAGCTCCGTCCCGGTCCTTTATCTGTCTACCTTGATGCTAACGAGTGCTCAGGTTTATTCACCTTTCTCAAACTTTCCATTATTTCAGACCACTGCACTTCCATATGAATTTTAAAATCAGCTTCTCAATTTGTTTTGAAAAGAAAAGTTGGAGGAGATGTGAAGTGACCAATGTGGAAGGGAATGAAGTCTCAATATCGAGCCTGCCCGTCCATGAACAAGGTGGTATCAGTCCATCCAGGTCGTCTTCAATTTCTCTGCGCAGGGTTTTGGGACTGCCAATGAAGAGGTTTTGCACACCTGTTGTTCGATTTATCTCTACATATTGTGCACTGGTAGGAAGCAAATATACACACAGTCTGTTTTGTTCCATGTATCTATTGGGGTGCAGACACGATACTATCCGGATTACGGTAGCTATATAATAAGAGTTCAACTTTTAAAATAATGGATCTCTAAGTGGTCAAACAATATAAAGAAATTTTCTCACATTTTTAAAATTAATTTTTGTTACAGATGTTTCTCCTTTTTCCCCCACTGACCCCCTCCCACTCCCCTGCACAGAATTGTTGTCCGTGTCTATTGGTTACATATAAATGCATTTAAGTTCTTTGGTTCATGTCTTCCTGTCCCACTGCCCCATATGAAGAATTTTTAGTCAAGCAAATTCACAACTATATTCTGATGTTTCCTTCCTCTATTTAACCTAAATTATAAAAACGGTTGGCATCATGGCTCATTGTCAACCAGTCGCCGTGGTGGCCAGCTTCCCGTCTGTCCACGTCTGACAGACCACGGTGAGCGTGAGTGACGATGCCTGCCAGGGGCAGCGGCCTGGACGGAGGCCATCTAGGTCCTCCAAGCACTCTCTCCTGGTTGGAGGTCTCACATAACCACTTAAAGACACACATGTAGTTCATCTCATTTAGGTTTTGTGGTCTTTTTATGTCCTACAAGTTAAATTTGAAAACAACCTTTTAAAGAATAATGCACTTTCAGCCTCTACAACTCTGTTAGTCTGCAGTTCGTCGTAAACTGGCATAATGCTACTGTAAAACAGCGATTTTCACCCCTGCCATCTCATGGCACACACACTGATCACTAAAATTCTGGGTGTACCAATAAATATATTTTTGGCCAATCTGACAAACAGTAGGTATAATTTCGAGTCATTCACACTGGACAGCTACTGTTGTGGGGCTGGTGCCCTTTCATTGGACGACCTCAGGGAAAAGAGGTCAGTGCCCCTGACCGAACAGTCAGGTTCTGCATGTTTTAAAAATACTTGCTACACACCGGTTGAAAATCGCTGCAATAAACTATAAATTGTTATTTCATATTTTACTCTAGATGAAATTGTGTAACAGTAAGAAAATGTGAACCACGCACAGGCGGACAGAGAAAAGCGCAACGTTGTGGAGTGGGTGGCACAAGTCTGCCGGCGGCCACTCCGAAGCAGCTCGGCGTGTCCCCCTCAGCACGGCAGCCTCGGCGTGTCCCCCACAGCACAGCAGCCTCGGCGTGTCCCCCACAGCACGGCAGCCTTGCAGACTGTCAGACTGCAGTGCGCTCGAGTCTGCACAAGTCAACCCAGGACCCGTTACCTTCTTGGCAGGTTCAACACTACTGTCTTAACGTGTTAATTGGTATTTTTTTTAAGCCAGAAATGATCATTTCTTCAGGAAATACACTTCAGAAATACAGAAGTACTTTCTTGTTTGTTAGTTTCTTAGTCAAAAAATAAGAAACTCGACTTCAAGATTATAAAATTTGAAGCACATCTTACCAACAGAATTTCAGTGTGCTGATAGTGGCTAACGTGGCAACGAGACAGGCGCTTAGGAAGAGCGCACACACCTGCTAGGAGGTCTCTGCGGGACTGGGGGGTTGATCTGCTGGCTGGGACCAGCCCTGCAGCACCTCTGAAGCCAGGAGGAGGACTAGCTCGGTAAGCACTACCTATTCAAAAAGCAGAACAAGAGTGACATTTCCTCTCCTCCTCTGTTGCCTTAATATGACGTGATGGTCTTCCTATTTTTCTTTACGTGCAATAATTCTGGCCCAAACAGCCAGGGAAGAATACTCTGCACCTTCGTTTCCTGACAGAGTCAAGGAAAGAATTGGGGGGGAGGGGCAGAGGCCTGTGCAGGGGGCGGGCCCCCCAGAGCTGGCACTTGGCCTCCCTCCCTCCAGTGGCTGCTGGGGATGATGCTGGCCAGAACGCCAACCACTGGAGAGGGGTCGCTCCCATGCGGGTGGAGGGACTCTGATGGGCTGGAAGTCAGTCTGGGAATAGAAGGAGTTTGGCATCAGCCCCCAGGCAGTCGGGTGCAGGAGCACTGTTTGGCCATTTGGAACACATCTGATACGTATCCTTTCCGAGCGGAGTGATTGCTGTGGGCAGTCCGTGGAAGAGGTGAGCCGTGTCAAAGAGGAACGCGGCAGAAAACAGGTTTCAAATGCGCCGCACAATTCTGGCCTTGAAAAGAACAAGTTGCGCATTGCGTACATTTCATAATCCAGGGTAAAGCTAAGGGCCTGAGTTGTACTGAGCACTTGGGTTGAAACAAAGTCTTCAGAACTGACTTAGGTGTTAAGAATCATGTCTGATTTCAGCCGCGGTGGCAGACGAATGCCGGAAAGACAGATGTCTCTGCCTGGGACAGACTGCTCTACACGGTCCCAAGTCCACAGCAAAGCAATGACGAGCCTCTGGAGCTGACAGAATAGTGTTGTGCTGCTCGATCACCTGTAAACACCTGTGACCACAGCATCACCATCCCCGCTGTGGGGAAGAGGGAGTGCCCCATGCAGGCAAAGGCGGCACACAGGAGAGTCTCCTGGTCCCCGGGGCTACCCAGGCCGTGACAGGTGACAACAGCGGAGTTGGAGTGGTAACACCCGGCACCGATCAACTGGAAACATGAGGATAAAACCCCACAGGAACGCACGGTACTTCCAGCTTCTCCCAGACAGCAGCAAGGCGGCACCCGCCCACAGGGCTCTCTCTCACCACACCCTGAACCTCCAGGGCGCTGGGTTAGAGACGTGCGACCGCAGGCTGCTACTGTGAACGCGGCGTCAGTGTTCATGCCTGCACAGTGCAGCCGTGTCCCCAGCGTTCTGCGGGCTGCAGAGTTCTCGGGCTCAGCTGCGGCTGGAGCCCAGGGAAGCCGGAGCCCAGACACTCAGGATCCGGGAGAGGCCAGGCCGGTTCTCCGCCTCGCAGATGCCCGCCGGGCATCTCGGCCACTTGCAGCTGACTGCGAGATGCAGCAGATCAAGAATCGCAACGTGCAAGTAACACATTTCGGGTATCTTAATCTCATGCCACTCTAGTGTCCTGCCCACTCAGCCACGCCCCTGGCACGTTAGTTAAGAGAAGTCCAGCATCTAGTCCCCACTCGTGTCACCACGCGGTCACTGCGAGGAAGAAGCGGCCTGCTGGGATCTGGAAGGGCCAGAGCCCAGCAGTGCTCCCCGGCGCACGAGGCAGGGTCGGCGAGATGACTGCCTGCAGGGCCCTCGGAGCAGAACGCAGGTCAGCAACTCTCACGGGCGTTTGCGTCTCACCCCCAGGTGCTCCCGACAAAGGCGCCATTTCATGCTGCTCTGAAATCTCCCAGAATGCACATCGCGGAGAACAGAACCAGTGTCCACCCGCGCCCACGGGTGTGTTGTCACTGCTGTCCATTCTTATCAGCAGACATGACTGAGAGAGCGACGAGCTCAAACCACAGGTGCGCGTTAGACTTGCACAGGGACTGCAGGCTAGAGGGTGGGGTCGTTAGGAGGCTGCAGGTAAGGGCGGGGGTGATGGGCAGACTGACAGAGGAGGGGAGCGGGGTCCACCCTCAAGGTCCAAAGCAGAGTCTGGCCCACAGTGAAGGGCCTGCTGTAGCTGTGCCTTGGAAGGCAAACTCTTTTCCCTCCTATTTACCATGAATCTACAGAGACACCTGATCCATAAAACTTGTAGGAGGCCTAGTTTTTAACAACATAAAAATGGATGATTGAAATCTCACGCTATTCAAACAGAATTTTCAGTAGACACTCGAGGTCACGGCTTTGCGGAAACTGAGCAGACAAACACGAGGACTCACCTGTGTGCTGGCGGCGGTGTTTGGTGAGGGCGTGCCGGGTCCCACCCGCGAAGCCACAGAGGTCGCACAGGAATGACTTCTCGCCTGTTGCAACAATAAACAGATGAGGGACTGCGAGGTCACAGATCATTAAAACATATCTATCAAGGCTTTCAGGGTTACTAATTCCTCCAATCAAATGTTTCCATGTAAATATGTCAAATGGGAATGAAATTACCACTGCGGTTTATTGACTGTGATAAAATCTGAAAAGCACCACTGAACATAATTACATACTTGTCAGACCCATAAAAATTAGCTTTATTATCAATGGAATGGTTTTGTACAACTTCATTTCTGGTAGATGTCTTCCAGATGGGGCTGCTTCATGCACTTGAACAGTTTTTATGCATATCCTGATTTTTTACAATTCCCATACATCTGGCCTTCCTGAGCTGAGTAAAGATTGCTTGGAATAGTTAATATACAGTATATATGATTCTGCTTAAATAAAACATACTGAATTTTCTATCAGCTGAAGGACACTGAATTGGTTTTACCTGATTCTATCAGGGTCTTCTTTAATAACTTGCTACTTAATAATGTGAATTAAATGGTTTCCTTGAACACACTGAAGATCCCGAGTAACAACAGAACCTCCATTACTCAGTACCAAGCAGTTCAATGCTGTTTGTGTTTCTCCAGCTTCATGGCTTACAAAAGGAAAGTCTCGGGCTGGCTAAAGAAATGGCACAGAACTGCTCTTACTCATCTTCAGCGGTGACTCTGGCCTGGAGCGTCCGCGACAATTACAGACAGATCTGGCAGACTCAGTGTTTGTTAAAAGTGTGTAAATGCTCATTTTTAAAGCGTTTTTACGCAAGCTAACATTTCGCCCTGCACGCCATCAATGCAATCTCTCTCTCTACTGCAGCGTCTTTAGGCAGTGAGTGTCCGCTGGCCAGGCAGCTTATCCCAGAAGGCTCCCCAGGCAGGGCCAGCGAGAACAAATGCTAACCTTGGAGAGAGTCGGTGAAATACACACTAGTTTTCCAAAAAATGAAATGAATCATTTGTATCCATCTTCACGTACTTGACTCATTTGGAAATTTCAATGCAACACGTCTCGGAGGGCTCTGTCCGAGCCAGCCTGCTTTGTTCCCAGACGTCCTGCTGCATCACAACAGAGACTGGCCTGGTGTCCCCAAGTGGTAACTGCCTGAGCCCAGGCACAGCAGTGACTAAGACGCAGAAGCACTTCCGCAGTCACAGACTCCTCCCCCTTGCTCAAGAGCATGACCAGGTGGTGTAACCTAACAGGACATGTTTTACTCAAGAGAGTTTTAACCAAATTATGTTTAATCTAATTTCGCAATGGCATGTTAAGGTGTTTGTTATTATTACTTATAAAATAAATCTGAATTTAAATATTTTTCCTATTGGCACTCTCCTATCTTGAGGTCACGTTTATTTCTTGACATCATTATTTCAATATAGCAAAAAAGATAGGGTAGATGGGCTGTGAAGAATGAAGTTTAATTATAATCACTCATTTAATTATTTAATCAATTAGAAATATAAATCTTTCTAACTAGCTGTATTATCAATTAAATAACACTGAGCGTAGACTTTTTTTAAATCCCCAAAGATAATTTGCTCGTTAATATTAACATACTATTCTACGTGGGGGCAGAACTGTTCTCCACGGTTCATTCCTCACCCGTCTTGTGGGCATGGGCCCCGATACAGGTGGAAATCCGTGTGCTCGCTCGCTCTCGCTCTCCCGCTCCCCTCCCCCACACACGTGCGCTGGCACCTCGCAGTGAGTGGCAGAGGGGAGGCGGGGGTGGTGCATCCGGCCAGCCGAGCTCTGATGAGGAAGGAGTGCTCTCGTCTGGTTCGGGTCCCAGAGGAGTTGCATCGTTTCTCTCACTGGTGAACTCTGCGACCTGCATCTTTCTTATGAAATATAAACCCTCCCGAACGCAGAACTCCTCGGGATGTCTGCTCCTCACAGGTACACATGCTGCACGGACACACCAAGCTTTGCTCCCTTCCCGGGCTTAACAGCTGTCCCGGCACAAAGACAACATTATTTTTCCGTGTGATTTGGTTCTAGATACATATGTGACCTTGAATTAGAAGTGTAGGGCATGACTTGGGGTGTCAGTCTGCAATGTCCTGTAGGTGAGACTTACCTAGGTGGCTTCATGTGCCTGTCGTTCTACATTCAATTTTCATCTATATTTTTTTCTTTTGAGGGGCAAGGGGTTAGCATTCCAGAGTGGGCAACAGAGTATTTTTCAAAAAATATGTTTAAGAGAACCCTAAACGTCCTATTTCTCTGCATGTAAAGGGGTGCATGTAACCTGCCCTTTTAGATGATAGCAGAATAGGAGACTTTTCTTAACAACTCGGATGAGTTTCCCTGTGCCATTTGCATTCCAATGTGGACGGAAACGGAAACCAATCCTTTATTTTCTATTAGAAAACAGCCACTGTCCCCTATCTCTCATTATGGTGCAGACTACAAGACCTAACAACAAAAATCCATATTATTGATCCAGCCAAGTCTCCACAATTATTCTTTAGAAGGAAACGCCGACGATAAATTACATCTGCACCGGCTTTTCATCTGCTGCTCGATATAAGTGATCTCGCAGGGCAGGCTGGAGACCTTAAATCGTCTCCGCCCCTGTCAAGGAAGCTAAGGAGGCCGGGGCTTCCACAAACTGCTTCAGGAGAACTTTTAACCTATAATTTCTAACAATAATATAGGATTCTTGGCAATCAGAAGAACATTTGGGAATGCTGATTAAAATTTATTTTTTCTCTTGGAACAGAATACTTTTTGAGAGGTGTGAAGAGAAGGAAGACCAGGAAAATATCAAACAGCTCTCAGTAACGCAGCTCTGGAGAGGGGAGCAGGCGCACCTGGAAGGAGTCTGGAGCCACTGTCCCCTGATAATGGAAACGCGCCCTAAACGCTGACCGTGCAGGGTGCGAGGACTGAGCGCCCAGGGCGCCGGAGCCCCGCCCAGCGCAGACGCACGCTCCGGCCCTGCTGCCAGCGCTCAGTTAGATCCCATACCATCCTTTAAAGGTTGTGCTATAAAACGAATATGAATTTGTTCTTTTAAAATATATAATTATCTAAAAATTTATTGTGGCTAAATTCATATGAGTCTTTTTGTATTAATTATCAAAACTCCTGAATCTGACAGCATCCTCCTCGTAAGAGAAGTGTTAATTGGATTAATGTGTGTGTGGGGGGGTGCGTGAGATCAAGATTTAATGTTCAAAAAGATGCTGCTGCTGCATTTATCTCGGTAACAAAATATAAGACCAGTTCTCCCAATGACCTTCATCAAGGTCACATCTATAAAGATGTGCTCAGACACACACGCCCGCACCCACACAACAGAAGTGAGCTTCTGCACAGGAACTGTGATCCGTGTAGCCCGGCACACGCCGCCCTCACGCCCCCACGCACACAGGGGTTCAAACGTCACGTGGCCGCAGCCCGCTCACCGCCCGTCCCTGGAGTTACAGGAGCCGCTCTGGGCGGGACAGCGCCCCCGCCCCGCGGCGCGGCGCACACCTGTGTGAGTCCGGTAGTGGTCCTTCATGGCCGAGGCCGTGAGGAAGGAGTAGTGGCAGGTGGGCCACGTGCACTTGAACGGCTTTTCTCCCGTGTGCAGCTTCGTGTGGTTGTTCAGGGCCCACTTCTCGGTGAAGCTTCGATCACACAAGTGGCATGTAAATTTCCTGCAGAGAGAAGAGAGAGACCACGTCAAGGCGACCCCACAGGCCCGAGGCCGGCGCGCGGGCGCAGGCCCCGCAGGCCCCGCAGGCCCGGCCTGTCATGTCTGTATAACCAGGCATTGATTTTGCTGTCCAGGCCTGGCGTTCCAGCCATTCATTCTCTGCTTTGCGGTTGGGCCCAACGGGTTTGAAAAATTCTGTTACAGTCCAGTCACCCCTGAGGCAAATGTGAGAATGGATTTCACCTGTACAGGCCCACACCACTTAGCCAGGGCACGGGCTGTCAGAGCAGAGGCTAAATGAAAAGCTATCCATACTAAACCACTCAGACAACCCTGCTCCCTGCCGAGGAGGCGGCTGCGGCAGAGTGGGAGCCCCCGCTCCTGGGACAGCGGGGACCCCAGCACAGCGCTCCCGGGGGACGGGGGTCCCCAAGGCGTCTCCTGAACAAGGTGTCCTTCTGAGTCACCACACACCTACACAGAAAGTTGCCTTTGATATGAATAAAAATAAAATTATAACTCTTAATAAAATAAGCCTTGGAGAAAAATAAATCTCAATTATTTCTTATAAGAAAAAAAAGCCTGAAAATAACAAAACTACTCACACTAGACAATATTTCAGCCTAGCACTCACAGTGTCAGGTACCTGCAATAATCAAGGCAGTGTGGGCCACGGACAAGCATCCCCGTGTGCTCCCTCTGGCTCATCTTCTGTCTCACCTGCACTCACGACATCACTGCGAAGAGGTCCTTTTATTTCCAATACAATCGAGTTTAAAGCCATCCCTGTACCTAATCTAGTAGTGTCCAGCTAATTAATTCAGGATAATGAACAGTCAAATAAAAGCAAATTAAACCCAATAGTCAAAATTAAAATATTTTAATAAGTTGAAAAGCATGATGCCACAGAAGAGAAACTACAGTAGCTGATCTGACTACTAGGAATTGGTCTACACTTTCAGCAAGTTAATGAAATTAAAAATAGGATACAATATCTGTGTTTTAAATCATGATGCAAGTATGAAGGTGTAAAAAGACTGGATTCCTTACGTATACACTTTAACTATGATTTCACAAATTTCCTTATGTCATAAGGGCAGAAAAGGAATCTCAAGCTCCAAATAATTAACCTTCTCATTTTGGGGCAAATGTGGATTACTTTAACAAATTAATCATTCCAAGTTTCTCAAATTCTTATGAATCAAATTCTGAAATTACCTTTTATAAAAATCCCTCATTTGTGATATGTATTTATATTTTTATAACATTAGATTTTAAATGCAACAGAAGTAAAAACTGCTATATAAATATTTCAGAAATGTCATATAAAATCTCTTGAGTGCTTCATTAATATTAAAATTGCCAATTAATATATCTCTATAATGGGAGGCCCTGTATGTGCACCCATCAACTCGGACTTACTGAGCTACTGTATCGTTTGATCGCTGCTCACTGGTACTGGAGAATGACAAACACAACCAAACACTCCGGAACGCACTGTGAAAAATATCATGTCCGTATATCTCTTTGACGGGTCTTCATGCATTTAACATTTCAAAACCATGACAGGGATCTTATTTCCAAGATAAATTCCCCTATCTACTTATTTCTTCATGTATTTATTGTGGATCTAACCTTCTACTACAAGAAATAAATAAGGAGGTTAAGTAGATGCTATCTTTTAACAAATAGTTTCTCCAGACTGTATTACAACTTTATGAATGACAAAATAAATCCCTCATTTTTAAATCTACCATGATGTACATTTAACAAAATTGCATCTATGAAACCTCCATGCATGTGCGCTATTATTCACACGTAATAAAAATGCTAAAGCGGAGCTTTGTGCCTGCCATGAAGTGACAAAGCCAGATAACAAAGAACTGAGGCCACCACTTGACTTCCAGAGAGCCTCCCGTGTCTGCCTGTCTGCTTTATGACAGTAAGTTCACGTGCTGGTGACCAATGCAGAGTCCCTATAAAGATTAAGACCTTCATCAAAGGGGTGTCTCCTGGGACTCCACAAATTCCGAGTCTCAAATGTGGGCGAGCGGCCTTCACGCAGCAGGTCAGCAAGGACAACACCCACCGGGGAGCGGCCGGCCTGGGCCTCGGGAGGCATCTCCAGGACAGACCCTGAGCTAGTGAGCAGTGGGGCGGAGCCTGGGGACCCACGGACAGGTGTGAGCGTGTGCTCTGGGTGGACTTCAGGAAGCCCTGCACACCCCTCTACCAAAGCACTGTTCTGCAAGCCAAGACAGAGAGAGAGGAGTCAGACTGGCTCTCAGAACGCCACAGGCTACCAAGGGAGACAAAATCATTCACAAAAATAACCTCTACACCATCATATACTTAAAAGAAGCAGCAATGAAGGGGCAGGCAGATTGAAGAGGGCTTCTCAGAGGTGGTGTTTAACTGAGATGTTACAAGAGGGAGACCCTGGGTGACAGAAGGGCCTGGAGGGTGGCAGAGTTGGACGGGCAAGGCCACACAACCTGCAGGGGCACAGCACACACCCCTCACCCACAGGCCCCACAAGGGCGCGGTCCACAGCGTGCTGTATGAAGCGCCCGAGCCCCGGGGCGACCTGCACCAGTGAGGACCAGCCGCCTCCGGGCTCACACAGCCGGGTCAGACCAGACGAGCGCGGGGCAGCGGGGCGACCTGCACCAGTGAGGACCAGCCGCCTCCGGGCTCACACAGACCGGGTCAGACCAGATGAGCGCGGGGGCAGCAGGGCGGGTCAGACCAGACGAGCACGGGGCAGTGGGGCGGGATGCAGGGCTCTTCCTCCCACACCCTTCAGCCGGCCTCCGGCCTCCGCACGTGCGCTTCATTTATAAAGTGTGACAGTCTCAGCCACACAGAAAATGACAGCTGTGCACCTGCCACCAAGATTTGTGTTCCCAGAGGGTAATACCCATGCTTCTGTATTTGGCTTGGGTCCTTTCTTGGGTATTCTAAATGGTTTAAGTTAATTTTTAAATTTTGAGCATTTATAACTTGGATGTTCAACACGCGCTGTGACAGACAGAGCAGGAGAACGACGTGCCGGGTGCCGTCGGCGACAGCAGCGGTCTCCAAGCACCTCCAGCGCCATGTACCTCCCGCGTAGCAATGCTCAGTGCACCTGAGACTTGTCACCAAGGGCTTCTGTCACCTTCCCTTCCCTCCGCCCCATGAGACGCTCCCTGGGGACACCAAGTGGTCTTCAAAGGTTCCAAAGGGAAAGACCACACTCGGTGACGCCAGACGTCTCGGCAGCGTGCGGCAGTGGCCCTGCGCGGCAGTGACGTGGACGCGGGGTGAAGGACAGGAATGCAGGTCACACAGCCCGTCAGCAGTGCCCGTAGAGCAGAGCCAGCACCACGCCCCGGGCAGCCAGGGCTGAGAGGTCTGCTGTGCTCACCCTGTTTGGAACCAAGCCCTTTCCCAGGCGGTCAGCTGTGCTGTCAGTCAGTCAGGAGGTCATTTTCTAGTGTAAAGTCACGTGCTGGTGAGTCAGCTCCGACTCCTGGCGACCCTAGGAATGGGTGACGTCCAGTGTCCTGTCCCACAGCCCTGTCAGCTGCTGCAGATGCAAGCCTACGGCTCCGTTTATGGAGCCGATCTGTCTCCTCCTGGGTAAATTTATAAAGCTTCCTAAATTCCATCTCAGCATGCACCTAGTGCTCTTGCTGTCTGCGGGAGGTCCCTGATTTACTGGGATCTGTGCCGTTCTGCCGTCAGCCCCAATGCTTGGAAAGACCCTGGGCCTTGGTTCTACCGTTAAGGCCACTGGGGGGACCTCTCTGAAATTACTCATGACTTGATTGGTGCACAGAGTTAAGATGAAAACCCACATCTCTAGACTTAAGATTTTGACAAGAGAATAAATACTACGTATCCTCATTGTTAGACATAGACAAACTAGACATCCTGGGGGGGCGGGGCATCATGTACAAAGTTACACTAAAGAATCGGGAGGGCTGAGCTCTGACTGCATAACAGCACCCCCAGAGAAACTCAGTAATCTTGTTTCGAATGTCGAAGGGCAGACGAGGCACCTGCCAACACAGACCGGCATTTTCAGTTGCACCCCTACCGCGAGCTCTCCATGTTACCAAAGACACCCAGCGTCCTGACAGGACAGCTCCACTCATCTCCTCGGTTACACTTTAAAATGAAGATACAAACATTGGGATGCTCTGTACTTTATTACTTTATAATGTTCACAACCGTAAGATGTGTCACTAGTATATTTTATGTTCTTTTCTGGTCTCTCCAATCCAGGATAGCAGAGTGTCTGATGCGTTAGCAATGCTGCCCCTTCTGCCAGGGAGCCCGTCTAGGGACACGACTGAGACTCGGGCACAAGCGCAGGCAGGAAACAGTCACCCCTGTGCAAATGTGAACAATCTTAACTATCCTTCGGGGGAGTCAATAAATAATGGTTTAATCAGAAAACAACTCCATCATGCAGGTCAAGTGAATTGACTAGGGCTACAGTTATCAGCATATGGATCACATCATCTCAGAAACTTAACTGCATTGAAACAAGGTAGGTACAAAACGGTGTCCCCCATACAAAATGTTTCCATGGAAAGAACAATATGAACCACAAACATGAAGTCCCCGTGCGCCACCTTCTGTGGACATTGCTGGCTCTGAGCAGACACGCGGAGGAGCGGTGACGACGGCTCCGCGACTGCTTTTCAGAAGAAGGGGTCCGAAGTAGACACGGCCACATGTTGACATCTTCTAAAGTGTTTCTATTGTTTTAAAATTTTTTCCAAATTCAAAATGAATATTTAATTAAACTATCAAACAGTATTTCATATCTTCTCGACATGACACCTTAAACAAGCCTTGTCAAATTAATAAGTCACACAAATTCGCATCTATAAAAAAGTGCAGCAGTAAGCCAGATGTGGTGTGGCACAAACAAAATTTTAATAAGAGAGTAAGCTAAGTTTTGTCAAAATATTAAATACTCATGCAGTTATTATCTTTCAAAACTGT